TTTGATGATGCATGAGGGGATTGTAATCATTGCAGTGAAACAAAATACGATGGGATGAATGTAAAATTGATATTCCTCCATGTAAACCTCACAATAAAAACTTACTTAAATAAAAGAAGTACCAGGCTAAAATTAACTTTCAAGTTTGGGTAAATTTTTATTCTTGCAAAAACAAAAGAAAATAAATAATATTCTAGTTCTTTGATCATGAGGATAGAAAGTAGTGGAATACAGAGGGAAGATATGTTTAAAAGATAAATTGGAAATGGAGGTATCGTAAAATTGATATATCTCTAGATCCTTATAAGAGTCATATATAAGGGAGCTGGGGCAAGCTGGCGGAGTTGGCAGATACATGAGCCAGCCCTCTCTCTGTAACAAAGACAAGGGAGAGCAAGTGAAACAGATACAGATGGTGATCCTGGAACCCTTGCGCGTCAGAGGATAGATAGCACAGAGAGGCGGATTGAGTGCGGACTGGAAGAGGAAGCTGAGCAGGAGCAGTGAGAGAGAAGGAAAATGGGCAGACTATGGGCTGGTGTGGAGTGGCATGGCCATCATGGGCTTTTGTGAGCATCTGTCTATATAGTGAACTGCAGGTTCAGGATGTGTCTGGGAGTTGTTAGCAAGGTGATATAGTTGTCCCTTGTTTCCATGCCCTCTGGAGTAGCCAGTCTTCGCCCTCGCCAACCCAGTGACCAATAACACTGCCTCTTGTTTAGCATCTACTTTGTCTGGGGTTGGACACTGGGCATAGAGACCCTGCTTCAGAAGGCTCATGAACCCTCCCTGAACTACAAAAGCGTTGAACTGAGAACTGAGTTCACAGTTCCAGTCTCTAAGACCTCCACCAGGAGATAGGTGTTGAGTGCCTTAGAACACACCAATATATAATCATGAATTAATTGATCGTGAAAAAAAAACACCACCACAATGCCTCAGAGAAAACCAATAGTTTCCTATTACATGAAGAAACAAGACAGAAGTGACCAAAATAGAGAGTCAGAAATGATATCAGAACTGCCTGATAAGTAATTTAATAAAATTTATTAAGCAACTTCAATTAATTGAGAGAATGATCGAGAAAACTGCGAGTGACATCAAGGAAAACTTATACAAAACTTTAGAAGAATTCAGTAAACAAATTGACAAAATAAATGAAAGTATGGGAACCATACAAAAACAGCAGTCAGAAAGCCTGAAGATTAAGACTTCAGAAGCAAGTAATACACTGAAAAGGCAAAGAAGTAGAATTGACGCAATGGAAGACCAAATTACTGAGCTTCAGAAATCACTCTATTCATCTGCTGGAGGAACATCATGAGAAAAAAGAACAAAAAATTCCAAAGAAAGCCTGAGATACATGTGGAACACTATCCAAAGAAATAGTTTACATGAAATTAGAATTACAGAACAGGAAGAGGCAAAAAAAACCCCACAAAAAACATACAGGAATGTTGTCCATGAGTTGTTAGAAGAAAACTTCCTTAATATCATTGAAAGACCAGAAAATAACCATTCAAGAAGTTGAACAAACTCCAAACAAGGATAGACCTCCAAAAGAAAAGCACCAAGACATTTATCATCACACTTTTTCAAAACCAATGACAAGGAAAGAATCATGAAAACAACTCAAGAGCAGCAAAAAGTTACCCACAAAGGAAAACTAGTAAGACTAAGCTTTAAATTCTCAGCAGAAACTTTGCAGGCAAGAGGACAATGGAGTGACATATATAAAAGTCTGAAAGAAAACATTTTCCAACCAAGAATAATTTATCCAGAAAGATTGTTAATCAAATATGATGGCGAAATTATGCTATTTCCAGATAGAAATTTAAAAAATTTGTTAAAAGCAGACCAACCTTTAAAAATACAGACACAGCTCTTTGAACAGAGAACCAACAACAGACAACAACCTGAAAATAACATACATGACAATATCACATAGACTCAACCCAGAAACAGAAGTATTCCAAGAAAAACAAACATGAAAGACTGAATAATAGTGATCCAGAGATACAGTTACAACACCAACAACCAAAAAAAGTAAAAAGAGGAAATTACAGAACTTATGAAGAGGAAATCAAGTAGATTTCAAGAAAATAAATCTAACTGTAACCCTAAAATCAGATCAAGCCTTACTTACAGCCCTAGCCCAACCCTTACCCCTAACACTAACCTTAATCCTAATCATAACCCTAATACTTAACAAAGTTCTTGACCCCATAGTCCTAACCCTAACTCCTTAACTCCTACCTACCCCACTCCCCTCAAAAAATAAAACCTAGTAAGACTTTCACAGCTGAATTATAGTTTGTTTTTGTTATGCGCCTTTGAGTAGGTTCCAACTCAGTGACCCTGTATAAAGTTTCCAAGAAGCAACTGATGGATTTGAACAGCTTACCTTACAATTAGCAATCCAGTGCTTATCCTACAGTGGATTTCCCACAAAAACCTAAAGAATGACTTTAAGATATTCATTCAGCAATGTAACTGTGATGGCACTGTAGGATAAGCATTGGACTGTTAAAGCCACAAGGTCATCAGTTCAGACCTACCAACTGTTCAGAAACCCTTAAATCGACTGTATTCTAAAAACAATACATAAATTTTTCCCTTTTCTTTATGGCCCTTTCATTTGCTAGATGAATTTCCTATTTGTTATGTTTGTAGCATTTATGTTGTTAAGTGCCATTGAGTTAGTTCCAACCCCGTGTAGGCTTTCCAAGGAGCGGCTGGTGAGTTTAAACCACTGGCCTTGCAGTTCAGTGACTTTGCAGTTTAGCACATTATCCTGCAGTGCCACACAAATATACATATCATGAGTTTGTGGGAGTCCTGGTGTGGCACTGGAGAGGATAAGCACTGGACCACCAGGTCGATTGAATTGCAAGGTGAGGATTCAAAACCCAGCAACCAGTCCTTAGAAACCCTATACCGGGTAGCTATGAGTTAGAACTGACTTGGCAGCACTTAACAACAATGAGTTTGTAGCACATGATCACAAATGTATCTGCTCCTAAAGATGTTATTGCTAGTTATCTTCACGTTGGTTACTGACTAAAGCACAAAGGAACAAAATGACAAAATGCTTCCAGGTCTTTGCCAACCCCATCACCAGTTGCAGATCAAGCTGTTGTGCTCCCTAAGATTTAGTTAGCTAATTTTCAAATGTAGATTTCCAGTCCTTTTTCCTAGTCTGTCTTAGTCTGAAAACAGCTGCAAACTGTTCAGCATCATAGCAACACACAAGCGTAAAGAAATAGGAACTAGATTTTCTCTCAGGAAAAAAAAAATCAATCGCAGGCCATTACCTAAAGAATGTTTTATGTGTTTGATATCTATTGTTGAGTCAGTCCAATTCGTAGCGGCCCTATATAGGGTTTCCAAGGAGTCACTGGTAGATTTGAACCATCACCTTGCAGTTCAAATCAACCTTGTGGTCCGGTGCTTGCACTATAGCACCACCACACCAGAACTCCATTTGATAGCTAGTCTTGTCCTTCAGTTGTCTTTTTTTTTTTTTTTTTGCCTTTTATCAAATCATTTATTTAATATGCTTTGGAATGAATGTCAATTACAATTTCCTGCCCACTTAATTAGTCTTACCAGTGTATCGTTTCTAGAGCATCTTTTGATCAGATACTTCATTTTTTTTTCTCCCTTCCTTTATTTATTTATTTATTTATTAATGTTTTATTGTGAATTATGTGATAGTCTACATGGGAGAACATCAGCTTTACATTCATTCCATCATCCATCATTTCATTGGCATAGTTATCATCCTGTCCATGCATCCTCACCCAACCAAGGGGTGTACCCTATAAACCTGCACCCCACCACCACCACAGTCCTCAGCCCCTTTCCATCTCCTGATCCCGAGCCCCCAGCCCCACCATCTCTTGACGTTGTCTTCTCTGCCTCCATCCCAGACCTCACTGCCTCTCTAGGTAGGATTCCGCTCTTCGCTCTTCTCCATTGATGGTCCCAGGGTCCTCCGCTCCTAGACTGATAAGTTAATCACTCCCCTCTTTGTTACAAAATGTCCATCTGTAGATTTCCAACCCTCACAATCAGTCCTGATAACAATTATTCACCATTGCATCACAAGAGACCCATCTATATTTCGTTTCATCAGCCCTTCCTGGACAGAATGGACACCACTCACTGGAGACTCTTATCTTCCTCCACGCCTTCTGGATCTAGGTTCCCTCTTGAAAGCTTGACAGCCAGTCACTTTTTGCCCTTGTATTCCTACCCCCATTTTGGGTAGTCAATATCCAAGTTGCCCATCCCTGTCTACTCTTTGTGTGGAGGGGGTGGGTATAGTTCTTGCAGCAGGGACTTGTTTCCTCTTTTGAGCTACTGCATTCATAGGTGTAGGCTTCAGTTGTCTTTTGCCTGGCAAGAATTTTTATAGCATTCTCCAAGTGGTGGCTTTGGTATGTGGTGATACATAATTTGTATGATGCAGTCATGGTATTCTCACACCTTCAAACCATTTGAACTTCAAATATATGTGATTTTTAGTCTTGCAGGACATCTAGGTCAATTGGCTTAGCATAATCCATTAAGACAGTGTTCTGTATTCTTCTTTGGTGAGTAGCAACAGGGGTCTTAAAGCTTGCAAATGGACATTGCAAATAAAACTAATGGTCTCTTCCTGTCTGGAGCAGAGAAGAATGAAGAAAATCAAAGACTCTAGGGAACTCAGGAGGAGTAATGGACACATGAACCACTGCCTCTGGCCAGAAGAACTAGATAGTTCCTGGCTACCACTACTGACTGTTTTGATTGGGAACACAATAGAAGGTCCTGGCGAAAGTCAGAGGAAAGTATAGAACAGAGTTAAAAATCATAAAAAAAAATAAACTTACTGCTCTGAGAGAGACACTTTAAACTGTGAACTAAACCCACTTTGGAGATCACCTTTTAGCTAAACTATACAGCGATAGTAATACACTTGAGTAACATACTCTAGAGTACAATCAACCATATAAGATCAAAAAGACAACATTGCCCAAAAACAAAGTTCAGAAGGTAGAAAGGGACAGGAAAGATGGGCAAATAGACACAGGGAACCCCAGGAGGAAGTGGGAAGAGTGTTGTTATTTTGAAAGATTGCAACATGTCACAAATGTCACAAAACAAAAGATATATATACATTATTGAATGGGAAACTACTTTGCTTTATAAACTTTTACCCAAATCAAAATAAAATGTTAAAATATATAGGTAGGTATATCTGTGAGTTTTGCCACAAATGTTTTCTGAAGCTTTCTAATTTTTCAAGTTTTTCTTGACGAGATTTGTCTGTTTGTGCTTTATAGTATAGAATCAAGGAGATATGAGGAAGGAAATGGGAACTGGAGAAAAGAAAAGTTAATCACTTACAGTTTCCCTTCCTTGTCACATATACATGTCTCTAGCCCCACTCCAAACTCTTGCTACCACTGTCAGCATTGTGATTTGCATAGCTGTAAGGTGGTTCAAGTCCTGATGTGGAGCTGTGGGTTCCTGCACCAGACTGCAAAGCTGTTTGAACTGCAAGGTCGGCAGTTCAAGCTCACCAGCTGCTCTTTGGAAACCCTATACAAGGTCACTATGGGTCGGAACCGACTCAATGGCATTTGACAATAAGAACTTCCAGAATTAAAAATAAATTAGAAATAATTTTAAATAGCTCTGCTACTGCTACTATATCTGTGAAGAGTCCACAAGGATTTTTTCTTTTAATTCACAACTTACAGCTTGTATCATTTTTGTCTCTTTCTTGATTAGGTACAAATCAAGACCTATCAGCTCCTACTTTCCATTTTTCAATATCCGAACCCAGCTATTTCCTACCCGTACATTTACTCTTTAGCATCATCTATTGTGGAAAAACTGCAGGAAATAGATAAGAGAAAACCTGAAGACACTGCTGAGCTTCAAATCTTTCAAGAAGGAATAAAGGTCTTGGAAACACTGGTGGTTGTTGCTGAAGAACAGCATCGTAAGTATCAGCAGGAAATTCAAATGAACCTCAGAATTGCCCCCAAACTTTACTGCTTTGTTGTTTAAAAAAATAACTGTTAGAAATAAGTACTTTAAAACATTTAGTCACTTTACATTATAGCTTTATTTCACATTCATTGAAAAAAATAAAACCGAGCCCAGTGTCATCAAGTTAACTCAAAATCATTGAAACCCTAAAGACAGAATAGAACTTGGGGTTTCTGAGACTGAATCTTTATGACGGAGACAGCCTCATCTTTCTCCTGTAGCGGCTGTTGAGTTTGAACAGTCCAACACTTAATAAATTGTGCCTCTAGAGCTTTTTATTGAAAGGTGGGTGTTACTTAAATCCATATATTTATTGCAAACAGTGTCCTGGTATGGCCCTGTGGGTTAATGCCCTGGATTTTAAAGTTGGTTTGAACCACATGGTTGGTGGGTCAAGCTCACCACCTGCTCCTTGGAAACCTTATACAGGGTCAGCATGGGTCAGAACCAACTCAAAGGCACTTAATAACAACAATTGATAATAGAGTCCATAAGATAAACACTCTACCTCAAGGTAAGTTTGAACTGCAAAGTCAGCAGTTCAAACTCACCATCCACTCTTCAGAATCCCTATACAGGGGTCACTGGAGTCAGAACTTAAATCTTTCTCCCAGAGTAGCTGGTGGTCTTTAACTGTCAACCTTGTAGTTAACAGCCTAACCCACAGCTCTACCAGGGCTCCTGCAGAAAATATATACTGATCACAGACATTTGTAACTTTATCTAATGAATATGTGTATCCCTGAATGTGGGACTTCCTTGTTTTCTTTCTAGGCTCTCAGCTGGTGGCCTGTCTTCTGCCCATCCTGATTTCCTTCCTTTTAGATGAGAATGCCCTGGGATCAGCAACTGCTATCATGAGAAATTTACATGACTTTGCTTTGCAAAATCTCATGCAGATTGGGCCTCAGTATTCCTCAGTTTTTAAAAGTGTCATGGCGTCTTCTCCAACCTTGAAAGCCCGCCTGGAGGCTGCTATAAAGGGCAATAAAGAAAGTGTCAAAGTCAAGATACCAACATCTAAGCATACTAAGAATACTGCAAAGAATTTAAGTATCCAATTAAAGACCAATTTCCTCTGATTTTTTTTCATTCTCTTTTAATAGTAAACACTTGCATATAATACTTGATCATTTCCTTCTCTTTGGGAACACAAGTCACATTTTAGACACAAGTACATTGGATGTCTGATTGATTGTTTTAAATAGCTAAGCTTTTTAAAGTAACAGTAACATTTTTTTTGGTTTGTTTTTTCCTTTTAATAAAACTACAAAATGCTTGTCAAGAATTTAAGAAAGTGCTAACGAGCTGCAGTTACAAAACAATTCACTGCTTAAAGAATTGATGGATTTCTTCTGAGAGTTCATATACAGATTGTATACTTAGTAATACTGAGCGATAAAGATACAAAGATGTAACTATCACAGTATTATAATTTATCCTCGTACAAATCATCTGTATTTTTTATCTATCCCAAAAACTAATTTAAAATTCTGCCTTATTAATTAATATTTCTTGGATTTCTCATACATGATAAATTATTTGAAATTTGCTTAGGCACCTTGGTATACAATCATCCATTACTTGATAGACCTACAATGTACTTTAAAATTCAGTGTGTATAAATACAGCTTTTCACCATTTTTTGCATTTATTCATAAAGGGCTAAGAAAATGAAAGTTTTACTTATTTTAAATGGAATAGGGCATCTTCATCAATTTCTTAAATGGATTCTCTTTTCCCTCTATTCGTAACAATATTGCTCATTTCATTTGTGGCAAGCATATCAATGTATATAACATACATATAGAATCATATCTATATTATATTTCAATCAACTCTGGGTTTATATAATAAATTGAATACCAATGTATTTACATCATCAATAGAGACAAATATGTTTTTATAACATGAAACATTTTAATACAGAAAAAAATCTAATGATGTCATATTGTTTGAAAAGTATTTTTTAATTGTTAACTGATCATTGGCTTAGCTTCTACTTAAATTTAACACTGTGTGAATCAAGTATTATGTCAGAACATTTCCTTGTTAAAAATTAAAAACCAAAATTATAAAGGCATGATTGGAGTTGAGAAAACACTTTTATTCAAACAAGAGTAATATGATATACTCTATTTTATTATGTTTTGTATATAAATACTCTTGTAAATTATCCAGCGTGAAACATCTGACATTCTAACACTAAAAAAAAAGTTTTATAATTTACATAAATAAAGCTAATTTTATTTATCATTCTTGTATTCTAAATTATTTTACCTACACAAAAAGAAAAACCCCATTGACATGGAGTCCAAATCTGACTTATAATGACCTGTATGACAGAATCAAATTGCTCCATAAATTTTCTAAGGTTATAAATCTTCACAGACTCCTACTGCCTAATTTTTCTCCCATAAAAAATCCTATTTGCATATTTCCACCCTGTCATTTGGTGGGAATTACAAGGACCCTGGCTAGATGGGAACCAATTCCATAGCAGTTAACAGAATTCTCTAGGAATGTGAATGTGTGTTTCTTACTGTTCCCTTCATTTTGAATGTCTTTCTCTCCCTTGGTCTACCTGGCATACTCCCACTCCTCCTTTGTTGTTGTTGTTGTTAAGTGCTATTGAGTCCGTTCTGACTCATAGTGACCCTGTATAGGGTTTCTGAGGACCAGCTGGAGAGTTTGAACTGTCAACCCTTATGGTTGGCAATCTAGTGCTTATCCTACAGCATCACACCAGGACTCCTATACCAGGTACGTTGTTGTTAAGTGTTGTCAAGTTGGCTCTGACTCATAAAGACCCTCTGTAGAAGTAGCTGGTGAGTTTGAACTGCTGACCTAGTGGTTCAAACCAACCTTGTGGCCCAGTGCTTTATCCCACATTGCCACACCAGGATTCCATATCAGATATGTATGGTGAACTTACTTAGTATATCTTCTCTAGCCTGGGACTCTAAAGACAGGATTGGTTAATTATACCATCCCTCTAGGAGTCCTAATGTTGCTCTATAGGACAAGCACTGGACTGCTAATTTCAAGGTCAATGGTTCAGAAACCCTATACAGGGTATCTATGAGTCAGAACCTACTCCATGGCACTTAGCAACAACAGGTCCAAAAAGAGCAATTTCAGATGTAGGAACAGAAGATCCCAAGCAAATACCTTTGAAGGGGGATCACCATTAAACTCACTATAATGCTGAATTAATTGCCATCCAAGTTGGTTCCTACTCATAGCAACCCTGTATAGGGTTTCTGAGGAGCAACTGGTAAGTTTGAACCACCAGCCTTTCAGTTCAAACTGATCTTTTGGTCTAGTACTTATACATTGCCGTATCGGGATTCCTCGTACCCACTAGGATGGCTGTAAAAAAAGAGAAGTATTAATGAAGATGTGGTGAAATTAGAACCCTTATACATTGCTATCAATATAAATTGGTTAGCCTCTTTGGAAAACAGTTTGACAGTACTTCAAAAAGTTAAGCATAATACTATTCTTTGAAATGTATGGTGGTAGTTATGTGCCGTGGAGTTGGTTCCTACTCTTAGAGACCCAGTGAAGGGTTTCCAAGGCTGTAAGTTTATGGAAGCAGAAAGCCTCATCTTTCTCCCACAGAACAGCTGGTAGTTTAAAACTGCCTAATTCGTAACCAATACTACCAGAGCTCCTTCTGAAATGTATAGAACACCTCAATAAGAAGAAGACAACCCAACTAAAAAATGGGCAGAGGACATGTACAGACACTTCACTAAAGGAGACATTCAGGCAGCCAACAAATATATGAAGAAATGCTCACAATCATTAGTTATTAGAGAGATGTAAATCAAAAAAAGATTTTTTACCACAGCATTAATAAGATTTAAACAAATGCTGGCAATGGTGTGGGGAGACTTGGACTCTCCTTTACGGTTAATGGCACTGTGAAATGGTACAACCACTGTGGAAACCAGTATGGCACTCTTTCAAACAGTTGAAAATAGGAATTCCGTATGACCCAACAATCCCTCTACTTGGTATATATCCTCAAGAAATCAGAGCTGTGACACATACAGATAAGAAGACCCATGTACATTGCAACACTAATCACAATAGCAAAAAGATGGAGACAGCCTAGTAAAAATGTTCAACTTTGGTACATACACACAATGGAATAACTACACAATATTGAATAGCAATTAATCTGAAACACCTCAGAAATCACACAAAAGACAAAAACTGTCTGATACCGTTTGAGTTGGAACCAACTCGGCAGCACTTAACAACCACCACCACCACTGTTGCAAAAAAAGTGTTTCCTGAGAAGCATTCTATGATGGTTACCAGGGGTGAGAGGAAAAGAAATTTTTTTTACTGGGTACAGGGTTGTTGATGTTGAGTCTGTTCCCACTCATAGTGACCTTGTGTAGGGTTTCTGAGGAGTGGCTGGTGAGTTGAAGCGCTGACCTTGCAGTTCAAACCAACCTTGCAGTCCAGTTGTTTATAGCACTATACCAGGATACAGAGCAGACACTTGTTAACTTAGGTGATTGGGAAGACACTGTACAGCAAAAAGAAGGTTGCCACAGGAAAGATGAATGTAGCAGAAGAAACGGAGTGCACGAGTTCCAAGTGAATAGAGGGAAATGCTGATGGTACATGGAGGGGATTGCAATCATTGTAAAGACATGAAGTGTATGGTTTGTTGAGTGTGAGACTGATAATCTGCCCTGTAAACCTTCACTCAGTTCACAATACAAAGTTTTTTTTAAAATGGTTACAATATGACCCAGCAACTCCATTTCTAGGTATATGAAATCATTAAAAACATGTTTATGCAAAAATATGTATATGAATGTTTAAAAAAACATTGATAATAGTCAAAAATTGTAAACAATCTAAATGTCCATCGACAAATTGTAGTATATCCATAGAATGGAATATTATTCAACTATGAAAAAAGGAAAGAAGTACTGACTGATTTATGATATGACAGGTATGAGCCTTGACAGAATGATGCTAAGTGAAAGAAATGAGACACAAACGGCCACATAGTATAGACATACCTAAAGACATCGACGGACTCCTGGTGTAGCTCTGTATGATTAGCACTAGACTATGAAACATACATCAGCAGTTCAAACTCTCCAGCTACTTCTGGAAACCCTATACAGGGTTGCTATGAGTCAGAACCAACATACAGCACTTAACCTCAACAACAAAGAGAAGTTGATAGCCAGGCTCTGGAGGGAGAGGGAAATAGGGAGTAACTACTAATGGCTACTGTAAGGAGCTCTGGTAGTGTAGGGGTTATGAATTGGACTGCTAACGTCAAGGTTGGCAGTTGGAAACTACCAGTTGTTCCGCAGGAGAAAGATGAGGCTTTCTGCTCCCGTAAAGATTTGCAGTCTCGGAAACACTGTGCAGGGTCACTGAGTTGGAACCGATTCTATGGTATTTAACAAAAACAACAACTAATGGCTACTGAGGTTCTTTTGGGAATGATGAAAATGTTCTGGAATTATATATTGTGATGGTTGTACAGTCTTGTGAATATACTAAAAATCACTAATTCTAAATACTATCAGAGAATAACTTAACAACAGTCATATCAGTTGTTTACAAACAGAGATCAGACTATATTTGGTACATAACAAAGTGAGCATGGAATACTTTGAAGAAAGGAAGGACTACTGAGGCAGATGTGTTATACAAACTCTCTATAACAAAGATTTGAGAGGCCCAGTGACACTCATACAGATGAAAATCTTGGAACCCTACCCTTCAGAGGAAAGGTGAGAGTAGTGTAGTGAGTGCTTGCTGGGAACAAAAGCTGAGCAGGGACAACAAGAGAGGGGAACTGATTGGTGAACAGCCAGCTAGTCAGGGCATGGCCATCTTGAACTTTTGTGAACAGCTTTGGTAGAGCATATTTACACAGGTGATGGTGTAAGGAGACAACTGTGCTCAGAAAGCCCATCTTGAACGTAAATCTCTCAATACTAGTTTGCTAGGAGAACAATCAGAAAAAATAATGAAAAAAATCCAAAGAAATCCTGAGTGTTATGAAGGGTAACATAAAGAATAACTTACAGGT